GCAACGACGGGACAACAGTGACGGCCTGTGACCAAACGGCGATAATGAGGCCCAACGTAGCAGTAGGACGACGAGGTGGAGTGACAGTGAGACCTTAGGAGTGCGAGTGGAGAGTCCCTCAGCCAAAAAGGCGGGGAGAAGAACTCGACCTCTGTGAGACCTGATCGTTGTACCGCGTGCCTGCAGGTTCGCGTTTGTGATGAATGCAGCGAGCGGTCGAGGCCTGGAGGGCGCAGCTCAAGAGTCTTCACAAGCTGTCATTGCTGGGCAGGCACCTGTGACTTATACTGTCATGGGGCAAGGCAGCGGGACAGGTTGGACCAGCGAGGCCATGCTCCAACCAGGGTGAGTCGCATCACTGCCTCTCTGCTGTTGACGCTGTATGGATGCCTGCCGGTTGTACATTGTTGGTGTTGTTGAATGCTTTGGATAATCTCCCCCCTGGATGCTCAGATGGAATGGTCGTGATCTGTGTAGCACACCGAACATGTTCGGCGCCCCACCGAGCACCCGAACATGTTCGGACGCTCGGCCGAGCGGGAACCGAACATGTTCGGCCGAGTGCAAATTAGGGGGCTGCCGAGCGCGTCCTCGTGTGTGTGTGGTGTGTGGTGTGTGGTGTGTGGAGTGTGTGTGGTGTGTGTGTGTGTGTGTGCATGTGTGTGGTGTGTGTGTGTATATGCTCAGGAGTGATGCGCAATGTCCCCCAGGGCCCCCCGAAAAAACTTAAAAAATAAAAATGTTCAGGCTCGGTCTATTTTGGGGCACCTTCGGGCTCGGTACCGACCGAACCCGAGCCCGAACGCGATGCTATGCAGGTCGTGATGAAGACTCCTGAAAAGTGGAGGTCCCAAAGCGGTTCCAACCATAGTCCCGGTAGTTGTGTTGATGTAGACCAATGACATTTGCTGGAGGAAACTGATGCCGTGGGCGTAGTACTCAACGAGAGAGGTGGTTGTAGGCGTAATGCAGTACAGGGTTATCTCAAGGCTGTCCCCTTAGGAAAAAAAGAAGGGAAAAAGGGCCTCCCTCCACCACTCACCATATGCACAAATGGCAAGAAATATGGCGGTGTATCTATCCATGCTGTATGTGAACATTCATTCTCAGTTTGCACAAAACGAAGTACTGGAGCGAGACCGAAAGGCTGCTCTGAAAAAAAAAAAAAAAAAAAAGGGCTGCTCTACCCTCGGGGCGTCTGGGAGAAAAAAGGTCAGTGGGGGACCGTAGGGATCCCAGAAAGGGGGAGGTCGATTGGCCTGCAGGAGCAGGTCAGAAGCAGACGCAGGCTTGGGAGATAGGGCATCGCCACACCACTCTCGAAATGTGCAAAATGAGAATGAGCTACCCGCGAGAACATGGCCAGATGCACCCGCCACATTTTTGTCGTTTTCACAATTCGAGAGTGGTGTGGCGAGGCCCATAACGCGTGGTAGGTCTCCACATGCTGATGCTTCCGCACGATCCCACCGCCACGATCACGAGTCCCAGTGATGCCAACCTCAGGGCATATAGGGCCTTGCCACACCACTGTCGAAACGAAAAACGAACGAATGCATCTTCCCCCGGAGGACGGCAAGATGCATTCGTTACTATGAATGGCAATGAATGCATCTTTACCAGTTTCTAGGGCAGATGCATTCGTTGTCTTTTAGTTTCGACAGTGGGTGGCGAGGACCATACTCACACTAGCACTTTCACGGACGTATATGATCGCTTTTCTAACCTGACCAGGATGCACCTAACCGCTAATACGTCCACAGAGAAGGGAAATGAAGTCCTGGTGTGAGTATGCCCTCAACCTGGCAAGAAGGTGAGTTATAATCCGTGTTTCTCTTGCATCGTCCCATTAGACTCATTTAGACTCTTTTTTTTCTTTTCTCTTCTGCCCCCTGCCGTCCTCCCGCCCTGCCTCCTCTTCCTACCTTCACGTACTTCTTTCTCTCCCTTTATCTATTCTCCTTTTCCTCTCTCCTTTCTCCTCGTCTTCCCTATCCATCTTGTCCGCCATCTGCCCTGCCTAGACTTAACCCTTCGCTGATTTGTGCACACACCGATGTACATGTATGTGGACACACACACACACACGAGAGAGAGAGAGAGAGAGAGAGAGAGAGAGAGAGGGGGGGCTTCGTTTCTTTCTAGCAGCGGGGCGGGCGGTAGTTCCTCCTGAAGATAGGTAGATGCCTCTAGAAGTGTAGCTGGGACGTTTCGGTTGGCTGTATAGGATAACGAAGTATCACTGCGACTCTTTTTCTAATTACGAAAAATTGCAATTAGACCCATGTGCCTCAATGGTACACACGTGTAACCGTTAGTAAATCGACAGTACACAAGTTCGAGTCCTGATGTAAAAAGATGAACACAATTTAAAAACAAAAAAAAACACACACACACACAAAAAAAAAAAAAAAAACACACACACACAAACAAAAAAAAAAAAAAAAAAAAAAAAAAAAAAAAACAAAGAAAAAAAAAAAAAAACCAGAGAGAGAGAGAGAGAGAGAGAGAGAGAGAGAGAGAGAGAGAGAGAGAGAGAGAGAGAGAGAGAGAGAGAGAGCACGAATGTAGGAATATGATAGAAGCTAATTACTAATTAATGGAGGTAAGCAATCGAAATATCGGATTGAATCCGATTGATGCAAATGAGCGGTTGAGAATGATCACTGTAATAACTGAACAATCTGATAATACAATATTGCGAACCAGGGCACTCGGTTCCTTGGGTGGCCGCAGTAGACCACAGGCGGTTGGGAGGGTAGCAGAGTGTCGTCATGCTTACTCAGGGAGGGCTGTGTTATCAGACCCTCCCATCGGTCGATTTAGACCGTGGTCAAGCCGCCTACTAGGCCTGTCCCCACACATAAGCGTTCCAAGTAGGTAAGTCTTAGCCTATAGGTAGCAGGAGTACGCAAGGTATCAGCATTAGTTAGGTACATCATTGCTTTAATACTTGTAGCATTAAACAACAGTATATGAGGGTGAGCTCATAGCACAGGAAACAGGAATATAGAACGCTCTTCCCCTTCCCTCCAGTTTGCTCTGATATGGTAGAGTATTCTTTTACTCAAGTAGCGACTAATGATTTAGTACCGATCTAAAACTTTCTCCGCCTTCCCTCAATGTCTCTTGTTTTGCCTAAACTCAAGCTGAAGTCATCCGTTTCCTATTGTTGCCGTAAAAAGCGAGACTGGCTAATGCTGCCAGAGGTTTTCATTCCGGGTTGAATTGTGGGGACCCCGGCCCCGGCTATTCTTGCTTTGAAATCAAGCAAACATTTTCTCAAAAAAAAAAAAAAAAACAACAACAAACAAACAATATTGTTAGAAAATATAATGAACAATAATACAAGAAAGCAACAAATATATAATAATATAATTAACAAATATAATAAATCACAAGAACGTAATAGACAATATAGACACAAGATTGAATTTACCTGGGCTGGGTAGTCCGATGATAATACCTCAAGGCCATCACCCTTAAAAAAAAAAAAAAAAAAAAAAAAAAAAAAAAAAAAAAATCGCAAGTTCGCAACAATATAATAAGTTTAAATAAAATAAATAAACATGAACAATAATGATGACGATGTGTCACGTGTCCGGCCATTGGTTATATGGCGCGCTCTATTGCGTTCAGGGATGATGGATGGCATCGTATTTTGTTGGCGCGCTTCATGTTCTGGGATGCCCATGTCGAGACCGCCTTCTTCCCCCGAACGCAACGCATGGTCGTGATGGTAGGCTATATCTGTATCGAACCGGAAATCCACATTGGATACGTCCACGATGGCACTCGCCTATGCGTTCTATTCGGGGAAAGTCGGCGGAGGAGGAACATGAGGAGGAAGGGGGCAGGTGGGGGCGACGGTTCGGGAACCATGAGTACGAACCATGCGCGTTCTGTTCGGGGAAAGTGGGGGAAGGAGGGAGGGGAGGAGGAGGGGGGAAAGGGAGGGGAGGAGGGAGAGAAGAGA